CTTAAATTCGAATCCTATAAAAGGTTTGAAGCTTGGAACTTTCAGTGCAATAACAGTTTCTTCTTTTTTATTCAGGCACGGATCTCTATTTCCTACACGAACAATACGGATGGTACTGAAAATACTCATGCCTTTTTTATTGGAAAAGCAAAAAAACCTCTATGTTTGAAGCGCAAGTCCGGGGAGTAGCTCGGATTCTACAACAGGAACAACAAGAAGGCCTGGACGACTGGTGCTTTGTTTCAGGAGTGGTTGAAGAAGTTCGACATCGACATGAAGATAAGTAAACTATATTTTTTAATTCCATTGAAATTTATTAGGCCACTTAAATACGATTTTTACGTAGCAGTATCAATTTCATGTCCGCAAGAGAAACGTCTTGATTTTGCCAGATAATACATCAACTCATACTACCAATGATCTGGAGCTGGGGAATGTCCACGTGCGGTTCCTGCCTCCCAACTGTACCACAAAAATTTAGCCTATGGATGCCGGAATCATCGCTGCTTTTAAGCGCCACTACAGGCGCCTCCATCTTCAGAATGCTGTGGAACGCGATGAACGCGGCGATGTTAATATCTACAAAATCGACCAGTTGACCGACCTGAAAAGAAGTGTGGCAGCGTGGGAGGAGATTTCAGCTGCAAATGCGTCAAACTTTTTCAGCCACACCGGACTATTTGTATCCCTGCCTTTGCATTCTATCGCTGATCAGGAGTAGCATATGGTTGAGTGCGAGTTGCAGGATGCCATCAATATTGTTCCTCTCAGGAACCTTATTGACATTTCCAATCGGACAAATTTAGTGGGGGAGTATAAAGCAGCGCACGTGAAGTTGAATGACAGTGAGATTATCCAGATTGTACAGGAGGCTGAAGAGGAGGAGGAACAGGAGGAGGAGCAAGTCGAATTGGTGGAGACCAGCAAGGAAGAAAATATCAGGTCTCTAGCTGTTACTGCTTCCATCCTTGATTTGTCGATCCCGGCTGATAGAATTTTCCATAGGCGTATTCGTGAGCTTCAAATGTCCATTTGTATGGATGCCACCACTCAGAGCACCTTCGATTCTTGGCTTCACAAGATAAGTTTACTCAGACACTTCGTCTTCTTCAAATGCATATTTTTCATACAGGAATATGTTTTTCTTTGCTAGAGTATTTTTGCACGATTTTTTGTCCCCCGGAAAACTCATTAAAGCCCTGTAGTTCTAAGTTACGAATTATGAGTTAGCGACCATAGAACGAGCATGACGGAACTCAATTTGTATGAGTTATATGAGTTACGAGTTATGAGGATACAAGTTAACCGTTTAATGAGTGTATATATATTCTTTTCCATTCTTTCATATTCCCGTTTGACGTTTCTGGATCTAATTTGAATTGGGTTTGATCGTGGCACGAAAATGTAATCTGTTCTTACATTTTGATTTTGGTGGGTCTTATTGAGTTTGCTTTTAGGTTGTAGGTGAAATAGACCTAATTTTGTGAAGGGAAAAGGTTAGGATAATTTATAACAGCCAACAACGACGAACTTGTCGTATTCCTTCTCCTCCTCCTCGTGGCTGAGATAGGCCATTAGCACATTTGGGACTTGATCTTACGAATTCAAATTTTTTATCTAGGTACGTGGAATCGAAGTACACGCTATGAAGTTAACTCACACTCGACTGCATACGTTCAGGAATGGCGACGACTCGACCCAGTCAACCAGCACTACTCGCCTGTGAGATTCGACTTGCGATCCTAACTACACGCACCTTCGTCCACATTAATATCAGCATTATAACTGTCTACATGTCGGACAAATGGTTTGCTCCGCTGCATCTACGACAATACCACAAAATGACTACAACGGTTCAGGCAAACGTCGATACGATAGGACATTCCCGAGGCCGGACATAACAGGTGGTATCGTTCGTATTCTTGTGTTCGTCCGTGTCTCCCATTGCTAGTCCAAATTGTGTCAAAAGTCCACCGTGGATACTATGGCCAAATTGATCGTGAACCGCTGCTCAATCACCTCATGGTCAACAAATACGACGTGGAACTTCCGATTGTGTATTTCTTCCTCTATCGTGGTGCTCAGGTTAGTCAACTGGCGAGCAGAAATTAAAAACATATTGAGCACGACGAAGAGACGACGAAGAGATGAAGATGTTTTGTCAACGCATTAAGCACTTGCAGATCGCGTATGTGGCGTCATGGTGAAGCTTTGACCAACCGAACGAATCTGCACAAACAGATGACCGAGTTAGTTACGTCAAATGGCACGGGTACTTGATTGAATCAGAAACCAAGTTTTAACAAATATCAGCAACGACCAGTACCGATAGTTTATGATCATATTGATCGACACTGTGACTTGTAACAGATGTGACTATTGGAGCTGCTAATCTGCTAGTAAGCCGGGATTGTAGAGTGCGGGCATTGGTAGTAAGCAGGGAAAGTAGAGTGCGGGCATTGGTGGTCGGTACATTCTAGCGCATCTTCTGGCTGGTTTACGCTGTGCGTGTTTCTGTCTTCAAGATTGTTTCAAAGGAATACTTGTCGTCGCTGGCTCTCGTCTGTACTGCTTTGATTGTCTTGGATCCGTCGAACAACGATCGTTCACTGCTCTTTGTATAAAAGTCCCGGAACAAAAGTGGTCCGATTTTATTGATCATGGTGGCCAGTGCAACGTTAAACTCGTGTGCAAACATCACACGTTTTCATCCTACACACATCCAAACGAGACATGAGAAAAGGATTGGACAACTCTTTGCAGAGGCTTCCGGAGAAGTCGGTACGTGGCTTGCTTTGGCAATTTCTGTGGGTTAGTAAATCACGGGAGCTGTCTGCTTTCGTTGCAGTCGCTTGAAGCAGGCTAGAGATCGAGACTTTGACGGAACACGGCTACGTCGTAGAAGTGCACATTTTTGTCTGCACGCTGTGTCCTCATGATTGGTCGTTATTCGTAACGCCTCTATCCGGAAACCCGCAGCAATCGTTCACAAGTATGCAGTAGATAAACTTATTCTCTAAGGATGTGAGCTTGGATCGAAGAGCTCAATCGCCTTAGTGCTGAAGATTGTGCCCAACCTGATACGCAATCAGTGCTGCACGTGTGTTGTTATACGTGCAACTAGGCCAGGGGTGAAATGAAAGTGACGCTTGAGTTAAGTCGTTGTTCGATCGTGGGTTCGAACACTGCTGTCATGCTCCCGTAGCCGTTCCTTTTCTAGTTTGCGATGAGTGGTGGCGTCATGTTGTAAATCATCTTGTCCATTAAGGTTAGTTTCTTTGGCCTCATCTCTTAACACTCGGGGATACTGTGGCCTGCTCGGTCCGTTGCGATCTCGCCACCACTTCCAAGCCATGCTAGCATCCACACCTCATTTGAAAGTTCGAAAGGGCTCAACACATGTTGCAGGAGTGCTTCCATCACCGAAAGTTTCCCGTTCACTTCCTCATATGGTCAACGATGACTTTCGACTCGACGTTGTGACAGGTCAAGTGCACCTTACCGGATTGCTCGAATTGTGAAAGGCAATGGATCGGACCGCGAATCAAGAATTCTGCGGAAAGAGCGACAAGTCGATCAGGTGATCGACGATCACAAGTCCTCTCTGTCTTGCATGCATGTCGTAGAAGGTTGGCTATACTATGACAATATTTCCTTTTACTGCTACCAACTTACATCTGTAAAAGTTCATTCGCTCTTCTCAAAAAAACGCCTAGTTTGAAGATTACATCAGGACAAATGGCCATGTTGGCATAAATCGCGATGAAAATGGAGGTTGGCTCAGACTTGTCTCTAGTGCGACGACGTAGTCCCGGAGTGCATCCGACGTCAAGCCTGATTCGTTATATGTAAATATCTAGCAACTAGTTGGCTGGCCACCAAACGTCCTCCCTCCGACGTAGTGCTTGCACCTCTGCAGGGCTATTATTCGGTGGAAGCCGGTACAAAAGGATGCGACCGGAGCAAAAGGCTGTATGAATCCAGTCACGCCATCATTACGCAAGTTCGGGCAGTCTCTTTCGCACGCAACACGCCTCGTCGCCACCCGAGTGCATAGATTGGTTGGCATGCTACATATTAGACGACGACACTTGATTAGATGGATTCGTAAGACGCAATACGCTTGCTTGTTGCCTCTAATGTCAAGTGGCTTACGTTTTCCAATATCACAACTCGACTTAAAGGTTTCGAGACTGTTGACCTTTGGACTGTAATGAGGATGCACATATAGTGACCTGACAATCAACTGAGCGAAAATGATGGTATCCTTGAGTACGAATAGGCCCACAACCAGCAACTTCGGCTGACCGAGCCGTTTGCTCGGCCAACGCGTTGACCATGTTGGTCCCTGGTTTCGATTCATCTGTAGTCAGTCAGTCATAGAACATAGGCTTGCTTTCAAGCCAAGCCAAGCCAACAACCCTTTTTCTCATATTCGTCTGATCAATATCGTTGACAGCCTATACACAATACGCATAGTAACAAAGCTCAAGTAGCATCTTCCAAGACATTGTAGAAGCCGTCAAAATGCACACAAAGGCATTGTCCGTTGATTGCAAGTCAGAGGGCAATGGTCCGTGACTCATGATTTATGGTGCGGCAGCAGAAAGATTGGCGCAGTCGAGGGCGTGAGTGAGTGAGAAAGTGATGTACGTTGCGGCATGCGAGCGTCCAGCTATCATGTTACGAATAAGCCTTTTGGTAGCACGTCGACAAGAGCTATGATCGTGATGACAAGACGCACCAGTGGTGTCAAAATGCTCACAAAAGCAGCCGAGTGCAGAGACAGACATGGAAAAGGATACGATACAAAGTCATTCTGTGCACAAGCCTGTCATTACGGTCTGTGCTGTACCTCCTACGAACGGCGAAGACAGATGGACGTCAAAAAGATGTCTACACTCTGCTACGTCAAGCTCCTTTGGTACCAGCAGTCATCTTCTCAGCATGTCGCTGCCTCATGACCGATTTGTGTAGGGCTCTGAAGTCTACATATCGCCTTAGCTTAGGCTCATTCGTAAAAAAAAGTCGGGAATCTTATACCCGATACCCTTCAAACGAAGAGGAAGCCGCAGCGCGTCGAAGATGATCTGTGGATCACATCCGGCCTCCATCAGTTCCTCGTCGGACGCACCTGATTTAATCAGGCGCCTAATCTTCTTGACTCTCCACTTATTATAAGGGTCTTTCGCCAGCTTCCAGAGCCTTCGAACATAATCCACGATGTCCTCCATCTTGAACCTGAAGAGCTCCTCTATCTTGGCAGCTATCTCCGCCATTCCCCGTTCTTCTCCATCGTCGCCATCTGCGCCAACGTTCACTTGAAGCCTTTGCTTGTTGACTCGTCCGGTCCGGACAGCGTGGTCCACGTTCAAAGCGGTCGACTCCGTCAACGTGCTGACTACTGGAGTCGACTGGGCGTCACCGCTGGCGGGCACGACTAGCGCGAGCAAGAGAACGAAGAAGCACTTCGTCACCATTGTATGTGGCTTTGCACGGCGGGGGGGGGGAGCGATAAACGAAAACTCTCGTGCAACGAATAGCGCGCGGGTGGCACTGTGTTGTGGCTCGAGTGGAGAAGGCGAAACAAATTGGTTCCGGCAATGCAAAGTGCTTATGACAGCACACGGCAAAGGTGATTGAGCTGGGGAGTGATTCACTAATGGATGGCGTGTTTGAGCTGGTATATGGCCAGTGCCATCGCAGGTGAGGATCAGCCCACGATGTTGAAGCCTGTCCACTCATAATGCGTCTATGGGTACAAAAAAGAGGAATTGAAGAAGGTACCGCAAGGTCAAAAGGCATTGCAAGACCAGAAAAGAATACAATAGGTACTTTACACAATAACCAAAAATATGTATGCCTCGATAAAGTATCCCATTCGCTTGAATGTGCCCATGCTAGAGATCCTTCGTAGCTGCTGGCATACATCGTTTACAACTTGTTCGTATGTTTAATGAATCAAATACGACGTCTTCAGTCGACAGTTGTCTATAAAAACGGAAAATATGCGCTGAATATTGAAGGGTAGCCTCACAAGTCTTCTCTTTCGTTCGCAAGCCCACACTGAGTCGTTTCTCGAGCATATTTTCAGTATCGGGCAAAATACTGCATAAATTGCGAAAGAATTGACTTAAAGGCAGCCAGAGACGATAAATCGACAAACACCATTAAGAGTTGACAAGATTGTGGAGAGATGTCGTAACTTTTAGATGAAGTTGTAGGTGACCATGTGGACGCTTGCGGCCACAAAAGGTGGATTGCGCGCAAACGAAACATACCATACTGATGGAATGTCATGGTCGGTCGTCACAAAAAACTGCTGATGGTGGTTGTAACGTTGACATGAATCTATATTGTCAGTAAGACGCACTTTGCCATTTGCAGTGTAGAATATAATACACACAAACGTAGTAGCTCGGTCTTCTCGATCCACATCGAATACGTGGTACATGTAACTGATGCACAATTAAAGTTACAATCTTGACAGGCACTCTACCTACGAGGATGCTGACTATTGATGCTTGCATGATAGAGTGTGCATAATTGTATCGAGGGTATTTCTACGATTTTACGATGGCAGACAAAGTGATGACTGCATACAAAAGACTGACCCGACGCTACCAAATCGCCTGAACGCTTCGATCATTTACACTTCGTACATCACTCTAATACATACAATCTAGTCGGATCGAGACCTACCAACGCAATCTTGAGCATGTACAAATTCGAACCATAAAAGTATTTATCAATTCTAATCTTTATAATTTTGAGTATGCTTTTTTTTCTTGTCTTGTGGTGCATTTTAGGAGTTCTTGATCATCTAAAAATTACTTCTTATATTTGCTGCTTTTTTTAGCAATGATCGAGTGCATTTTATGGTCTTCCTTGTTTCTATCGCAAGGAAAGTAATCGCAATGCAGGACATTGTATGATGAACTGAATAATTAATTCAAAACCCTATTCCTGTCACACTAAAGCGTTCTTTGCCTCATTACCATTACCACCCAAACAAAGTTATCTCAACAATCGAATACAATATGTATAGGGAGCCGCTTATGAGCCTTTAGTTTTAGCTAATGAGCCTTCCCCCCATATATTAGATATATCATTGAATTTAGAGATTCCTAAATTTAGAGTTGTATTGATGTACTTTAAAGAAATAGCGTTTATTCATCTCATATTATCTAGTGAATTGTACCCGTGACAACCGTCCTTTAAAGCCATATGAAAGGTCTTAACCAGCTCACAGAAGAGCTGTTTGACTGTGGACGAAGCCCGCCAAGCGCTTGACAAGCTAACACTGCCGGAAGGCAATGTTACAATCATTAAAAGGCAACAAAGGGTGGGTAACTGCAAGGACGGCGAGATTAAAGCAGCGGATCTCCGATGCTCATACAATGACCGCCAAACTTATTCTGGTACCGAGTCAGGTCCAGCGCCTTATCGTCCTCGCATGGGCTCCAGCCGCGCCACTGGCTGCTCCTTCTCTCCACGATTGCTAGACAGCGACGTCAAGAACAATTATATTAGTAGTTACTTCAAGTTAATCATCAATAGCATAACTGTAACGGGGTGAGCCCGTTACACTAAAAATTGGTACGAAAGTACCAATTTTTGAATATGTTACGATTTTGATAAAATTTAATCAACATCACTCAAGAAGAGTGATGTTGTCGGAATAATACCCCTAAGGGTAATATTCGTGGAGGCGGCCACTTCTTGGTTGATGTACTGTGTACATCAAGCAATTTAACCACCAATCGCTGCTGGACGCGCGTAATAGGTGGTGGACAGAAGACCCACACAAGAGACAGTGGCTTGATATAGTTAGATTAAGACGAAAGATGATTTAGCACGAAACAGAACTACATTAAATAACAATTCTACTTTCCCCTCAAGACAGAGCTTTCGGGTTCTGCATTGTATTGGTCGCGCTTCCTCACGCCACGTGTACGTGACGTCGGGCGTACGCACCCTTGAATTGTTGTCAATACAAGGCCCTTCTCAGTTATCTGGGCAAGAGCGTGCTCCGTTACAATAAACATGACCCCTATTTAGAAATCAAAGTGCATCCACGTGTTCGTGCTGTAACGGGATTACACGTCGACTGGTAGTCGACAATAGGTGTGGTACACACAAGGGATGGGATCCCCTTTAAAGTAATATTATAACACAGTATCAATTGTTGAAGACTGATGTCTGTCAACCATTGATTACGAGATCTTTTAATAGGTTAATTTAGGACATAAGTGAGTAGGTTATTTACTTTGTTCTACGGTGTTCTTTTAGGTTAAAAGAAGAAATAAAATTCAGTTCCCATTTTGATCTACATAAGACACGTGCCTTGCGAGGCGTCTTGATCGGAAGAGCTAGCAACGCCTGTAAAGGTAGCTGCTCTTGAGCACTCTGTTCTGTGATTCTCTTGAATCGTTTGGTCCCCCTGGAACAGGGACCGTAAGCTCTCTGAGCTTGTTGACTCTCTGAGTCGGGTTCGTAAAACCAAAGTTGCTCGTAGAGCTGTTGACTCTTCGAGTCGGGTTCGTAAAACCAAAGTTGCTCATTGAGCGTTTGGTCTTACTCTGACTTAATTAGCTGTGTAGCTCCGCTACACTTGGTAGCACTTGTAGTCAATCTACGCCTGAGTCAGTACGACTGATCCTCTGTGAGGATTGAGCAATCCAAACTCCTCTCTGAGGCCCAAAACCTCGCGCTTGATAAGCTGACCGCGGCCGTTGGTCCAGAGTATGTGGAGTTTATAGCTGCACAAGGTCCCGGTGTGCTAAATGCACGAATCGAGGCCTTCATGCAGTACGAAACGGCCCTTCTAGGGCAGGTTCAAGACCAAGTAGCGTCGGCGATGCCAACACGCTACGTGGCGATGCCAGATGAAGAGGCTAAGCCTCGTCCCCTTCGGGTGGACGTCAAAAATTACTCCGGGAAGGAGGGGGAAAACCTGACCCTCTGGATCCGTGAGATTGAGATGGCCATGAGCTCTGGCCTTATCTCACTGGAGTATCAGCGGGTATCGCTGGCCATCTCCAAGCTCGAAGGAAGAGCGAGAGAGTGATCTCTGACGTGTGGCACGTTGGTCGACTTGGCGTTTCCTACATGGGATTCGCTCAAGTTAGACCTATTGCGAGTTTTCTCGCCGCCTAACCAGGCCTATCGCGTGCGCTCACGCTTCTTGTCTACCCGTCAGGGTAAGAATGAGCTAACGGACTATGTACAAGAGTTGAGAACTCTAACGGCTGCTATGCAGTCTGACCCTCTCCCTGAGACAGTCTATATGACTGTATTCATGGAAGGTCTTCGTAATGGCGTTGCCAGGAACGAGGTGTTTCGGGTCCATCCCTCTACTTTTGAGGAGGCTTAAGCATCGCTCAAAATGCTGAGCACAACTTCAAGTCGGCCAGACTTGGTTGGAATGGGTACAACCCAAGCTTTGCGAGGGCAACCTCTGCGAGCACCTCGGCTTACTGTAAGCCAGAAATGATGGATCTCAGCCATGCTGAAGATGAAAGTGAAGCGGAGCTTCGTGTTGCAGAGCAACGACAGGAAGTAAAACGCTGTTATATGTGCGGAAGCACTAAACACTTGCGTCCCACTTGTCCTTTGCGCAAGCAACAACCGACTCCTATGGGTCGAAACCCCAGCCACAACCAGAAACCTGGTATGGCACGGGAAAACGTCGACAACCTGTAGGCGCGGGGCTCCCTACTGGGGTAGAACTGAATTCTGCCACTTCTCTACGAGGTAGAGTGAAACAGGGCTTAGCTCACCGAGCTCTGTGCCCGCCAGAACAGATAGTGGATACAAGCCTGGCTTGTTAGTCGCCGAGGCGAAGATTAAAGGCTTTGAGAATCATTGGTCGATCCTAATCGACTCCGGAGCATCATGCAATTATTCTCGACGTCGGTCCCTTGAGGGAAGTCAGAGATATGCTGAGGCGCTCAAAGCTCATGAAGGCGTTTCAATCACCGTTCGTTTAGCGACTGGTAGTCGCGTCACGGTGCCTAAAGTTCCGGTGAGCTTAGGTGTGAAGTTTTTGGACTTTGACAGCATTGAACGCTGTCTTGTCCTCGATTTGAATTCGAGATACGATCTCATCCTGGGTATGGCTTGGCTTGAACGCCATGAGCCATGGATTGATTGGAGGTCTAAGACCTTAAGCGCCACGCGCAATGTTTCTAGCAAAGCTTTGGAGAGGCATGAACCCACCTTTGCTAGGCAACAAAAGCGCTGTTGGCGCGAGCCATTGACGGAAGATGTCAATGTGCTGGACATTGGTATGTCAGAGTTAATTAACTCCAGTGTCAATGACATTAAATTTAGCGGAGCTCTTTCACCGTATGTGAAGGGAGTTATACTCCGTTGAGTGATACTCGTTGAGATACTGAGTCACTGCATGCTGCAGGCATGGTTGGCCTAGGGCCGAGACATCAAGAATGTAATTCCTCTGATGTGAGTGGGGTGGCAC